ATATAGAACAATTAAGACTCGGACCACACGTTTTCTGAATAGTTTTTATCCCAGAGCTATAATTGCACTTAATAATGAGCTTAAAGACCACCAGTAGTGAATAGTTAGCTGGACTGTGTTACTTGGCCTGCGATGTAGATGTTTGTATTTTAGTGGGGGACTTTTAGTGGGTGGGGATATAAATCACTTGTAGGATTCTGGTCATACAGAGCTTAAGAAGAATACAGTGGTGCCTCGCTTAATGATTACCTCGTTAAATGACGAATCCACTTGATGATGAGGTTTTTGCGATCGCTTTTGCGATTGCAAAATGATGTTTTAATGGGTAAAATTCACTTAACGATGATCGGTTCCCTGCTTCGGGAACTGATTTTTCGTTTAACGATGGCCTGAAAACAGCTGATCGGTGGCTCTCAAAATGGCCGCCCACTGTGCAAAATGGCTCCCCGTTGTTTTTAGGACAGATTTTTCACCAGAGATGCACTGGAAAATGGCTACCCTATGGAGGATCTTCGCTGGACGGTTAGGTATTTAGCCCATTGGAACGCATTGAGCAGTTTTCAATGCGCTTCAATGGGTTTTTTTCCCCACTTGACAACGATTTCGCTCTATAGCGATTTCGCTGGAATGGATTAACGTCGTCAAGAGAGGCACCACTATATCTGAAATCATATTTTTATTAAAGGAAGCTTAAATTTCCATAGACATTAAACACTATTTCAAATGATAACATAAAATACCCAATTTACAAGGAACAGTTCTAATTCTGGCTCCAGATAACAGAATGGATACTAGCTATATGCTACTAGCTATGTGAAGTAGTGCATGCTATTCTTTTTGAATATTTCAATGTTTACTAGCAAAAATCATGCCTAAGTAATACATGCAATTGCTTCTTTGGAACTGTTCAATCAGATTTATGGCTAAGCTTGTTCTCCCATTAATGGCTGCTTTCAGCAGAGTTACCTAGCGTTTAACATTTTATGGTACTTTTAATTTCACATCATGTTCAACAGTGCATGCAACAAAATGAATAATGTCTAGGCACCTATCCTTTTCTACAATTATACTAGGCACACATTCACTTGGACTTGGATGTCAGCAGGTTTCTTTCTTTACATGAAATGAAATTTAACCTTTTCCCAAAAAGTGTGAACTAATTAAAATGAACACTTATTTCCATGTGGTCCCCT